GCCAGCCGCACGCGGGGGCGGTGAGGTGTGCGAGGACGCGCGCGAGGAGGTCGAGCGCGGGGGAGGGGTCCGGCGCGGGGAGGGGCTCGCCGAGCGGGTCGAAGGACGGGTACCACTGGAACGCGCGCTCGTGCAGGTATGGGATCCTGTGCGCGGTGAGCGGGCGTGCGTGTGTGCGGGAGAGGGGGGCACGTACTGCTGGGGCGCGCGGAGGGCGAGCGTCGCGGTTTGGGGGAGGCGCAGCTGGCGGGCGAGCTGCGCGAAGGGAGTGTGGGTGTCGCCTGTGGGCGTGGGGTGAGTGTGGGGTGCAGCGGGAGGGCGAGGCACACACCGAGGCCGTGAAGGAGGATGAGGAGGTTCTCGTCGGTGCCGTCGTCGCTCGGGGCGTAGGTGAACGGAACGGGGATGACGGACGGGTCGGGCGGGGGCTTTGACCTGGGACTAGCGCTGGGAGCATCGCGGAGGTGGACGTTGCTCATCGTGTGTGCAGCGTCGGTCGTCGTCGATGGTGGCGGTGATGGTGGTAGCGGTGTGCGATCACTCAGCCTCGCCGTGGGGCAGAGCGGCCATCTCGGTAGATCGACGATGCGCACGATCCTTGCGTTTTCGATCACCCTGACCGATTGCAATCACAGCTCAACGTTCGAACACCAACGCGCAAGGCAAATCGGTTTATTCCCCATAAAGATAAATCAGTCCAGATTTTTTCGACCTTTCTTGGTATATGTACTACTACAGCAACGCGCGCACACAAATTCATTTTATGCAAGAGCAATCATCGCACCAGCAGCAACGAGAGACAAGATCATGGCGGGGGCGGCGGCAGCACCCGCACCCGAGGTCGTCGTGGTTGTAGTCGGCGACGGCGCACCGGTCGAGGTCGTGTACGACTGCGTGCCGTTCGGGTAGTCGTAGCCAGGGTTGTTCGCCCATGGCACCGTCTCATTCATTGCGGTCAGGTTCACTGGCGCAGACAGCGACGCCGCCGTGATCGCCGTGTTGAGCGACGGCGCGACAAAGACGCCTCCAGTGCCTGCACCGACGGCGGTCATGTTCGGCGCCGCGAACTGCACATAGTACTCGTTGTTCAGCGGGCCGGGGTAGCCACCCGTCAGGTTAAGCAGGGCTGCAAGTCAGCGGGTGAGCATACCTGCAGGGGCAGAAGGGAGGGCGGTGGGGGACTTACGCAGGGCGGTCGAATTGCCGACGAGATCGTTGTTCTTCCAGCCTGTCGCCTCCGCAACGAATGAAAAGACGTTGTTCACCGTCGCGTTCGTGTCCTGTCGGCCGAGCGACTTGAGGCCCCAGTTCGCCTGCACGGTCGAGAGCGAGGAGTAGTGCGTGTAGAACGTGTTGTCTGTCGTGTTGACCAGATTCGTGGGGAGCGCGCCGCCGATGAGGAAACCCCAGACGTTGTTGTTGACCGAGTACACTGACGAGTGGGGATGAGTTTACCGCACGGGTAGGCTGGGCAGAGCAAACGTACCCTCGTTCTCGTCAAAGGTGATGAGGATGAGCGTGCGGTTGTTGTTGAAGCGCTCGTCTGCGAGCACGGGGTTGAGCCAGTAGTTGATCCAATCGCCCATAAAGTCGACATTAGTGTCGTGACCCTGTCGGGACAGGTTGAGCCCTCGGGGCATGGGTCACACGACACGGAGACTTACGTCGTTGACCAGATTGGGGGTGACGAAGACCCATTGCGGGATTGCATCCGCGCTCATGTCGTTGGCAAAGTCGTTAACTGCGTGCGGGGGCTGGGCATCAGCGGAGGCATTTTACAAATCAAGGGGCACAAGCGCACAGTTACGGATGCGGAGGGCACGCTCCGTGACGTTGGAAATGGAGTCAAAGATGATGAGGGGGTTGTGCTTGCGCACATAGTAGGTGTAGGTGCCCGTGCCGGCTGGGGGGAAAGGTCAGGAGAGGCGGCAAGAGCAGACGGAGCGGGACGGACCGATGTAGTCGTACGAGGTGAAGTTGTAGCCCTGGGGAGGAGCGGTGAGCGAAGAAATGAGGAGGAAGTGTGGAACATACAGTGTATCCGTCGTAGGGCAAATTCTCCTGGTCTGTAGAGGCACGGGTGAGTAGGGGCACGGGATGGAAGACGGGGCGCATACACTCTGCCCAGGAGATGTTCTTCTCCTCGAGGAGATCGACGACGGTGGAAATGTTTGAGGGGATGGCATCTGCGGGGCGGGTGAGAGGGGCAGAGGGACGAGAGAGGGAGGACGCACAAAAGTCGTCGTTGTATCCGCCAAAAAAGTCACCACCCGCGGCGGCGATGTAGTTGGGCTCGGAGGTGTGGGTTACGCCGTAGTAGCCGGTGAGGAGCTGGCCGTACTGGGAGAGGTTTTGGAAGGCGGGGGACGACTGGGCGGTCGCGTCTGGAGGGGGTGAGGACGGTGGGGAGTCAGGAGGAGGAGAGGGTGCTCACAGTTTGTGTTTTCAAACCAGACCTGGATGAAGCGGTCGAAGAGTTTTCCGGGGACGACGGGGCCGTTCTGGAGGGTGTTGTTGGACTTGCCGGTGTAGTTGCCCGACTGCGCGAACGGGCTGCTCGCCGGTGGCTGGAACGTCTGCGCCGTGGCGGCAGATGCCGAGCGGACGAGGGCGAGGACGGCGGTCCCGAACAGGAAGGCAGACTGCATCGCACAAGGGGGACTCACTAGCACTGGCAGCTCGAGCACGCCGTCTCCACTTTCTGGTCGCCCTTTTTAAATTCCTTTCTCCCCCTCCGGCCGATGGCTGCAATGTCCTCGACCAGTGGACCTCTCGCACCAACGTGCGATGCCAAGCCGCCTCTGTCCAGGGCGCACCGCGGCACATCTCTTCACGCCCCCTTTAATCGACACCCACATGCTTGGCGGCTGGCCTCGAGACCCCAGCTCTCACGCATTCCACCTATGCTAGTCTGCTGTTCCGTTTGCCACCACACAATCCCTCTCACGCACGTGTGCTGAAGATACTAGATAACACACCCGAGTCGATTCGCTCAAAACATACAATTCTAATTTTGATCGTCTAAATAGAGCAACCCCCTCACACCGTCTGTTGCGCGCACTGGTCCACCATGTACTGCGGTATCACAAACTTTTGGCTCACAGACGGCAGCACGTTGAACTGGAACAACAGCCCAGCAGCCTGCAAACAACCAGGTCCCGTTAGAAAACATCACCAGTGAAATCCACCCATACGCACCATGTGCCACGAGATGTCTGCATCAAAAATAACCATCAGCCCTCATCCATTCCCAGCAACAGAGAACGCTACGCACGACAATGGAATGCCCAGTACCCCGCATTGTCCGCCTGGAAGCGCAGGATCATCCACGAATACGTCGGGATCACCACCGTATCACGCCTATCCGCGAAAGCATCATCCCGTCAGCGTCCTCGAACATGATCCCGACGATCCATCAGGAGCAAGAAGTGCACGTACAACATCGGCGCCGTGTTGTTCACACTCTCACCCTGCCACCGCCCGCTGCCCGAGCCCATCACCCAGAACTGCCCGCACGCAAGTCAGCGCAGACCACCACCCCGCACGCGCACCACGCACCTTGTACCCGTGCAAGTGGAACGGGTGGTCCCCGTCGTCCAGATTGTCGATGATCATCTCCACCGTCGACACCTCGTCAATTGTCGTGATCAGCTGCGACCCGTCCCAGTTCGCCGAGCCCGACGTCGTGTCGTTCCCGAGGTGCGCGAACAGACTCGACGTGTTTGTCAGCGGCGCCCACGACTGCTCACTGCTATCAGCCGTGCATACACTCAACGGAGTCAACGAACCCGTACCGTCTCATTGATGAATGCTAGGTACGGTGAATCGTCGTTCGCTACATCCGCGTACTCCATCGATATTGTGAAGTAAGTCGAGCTGCCGGCCGCCGCCATCGTCAGATCGGCGTCGCGGGAAGGAATTTGCAACAGCGTACAATGTTACATCGGGCGTGGGTCCCCCGCCCACGGGGACGAGGCTGGATTCGTTCAGCGCGCCCGGGGCGCCGCTCGGCAGGGCGGGCGGGTTGTCCAGGAGCTCAATGTCTGGCATCGTGTCGTTGGCGACTCCATAGCGAAGGACGCCGCGGATCTCTGTCTCGCACCCGGGGTTGTTGTACTACCGGAACCCAGCCCGCAGAACGTCAGCGAGGCCACGACATGTATACGGCGCGGGACGCACCGTGAACGCAGTCTGGTCAAGGTCTGCCCGCATCCAGTACGCGCCGGCGGTCTCGTTCGTCGTCAGAAGCACACTGTAGCGCTGCGCGACGGCGACCGAGAGGCTGGTGACCTCGAACGGCTCGACGGGCGTGCCGTCCGCCTCGATCACCGTCAGCGTGTGGTTGTCCACTGAGAACGACAGCGCGACGAACGAGCCCGGGTTGACGATCCGAATCCGATACGTCTTGTTCCTGCAGAGTACGCAAATCACGAAAATGTTTCAGCGAGGCACATGCGTCGTGGACGCATCGCGCGACTCACGCTTCCAGGGTGGCGTTGAAGAACGTCGAGTTGTACGAGCCGTACTGGCCGACACCATTGATGGTGCCTCCATCAGGGACGGGCTCGTTTCCTGGATTCCCGTCGATACCACCCGGCTGCACGTGCGTTGGCAATCAAGCATGGGCTCAAACGCGAAAATCGATCATCGAGCTTACCGTAAAGTAGTAGTTCAAAAGCGCTGTGGAGAAGCCGTGATACAGATCCGACATCAAGATGAGCAGATCGCCATCGTACTGAGGGACGGATTCGTTTTGGCTGTGGACGACGACTGTGGAAGGAAGGCGCGCATGTAAGCAAGCGAGCCCAGCTTTCAAAATTGATGAGGGACACTAACGGCCACCGACAATGCCGTCGCTGTACTGGGTGTCGTAATCTGCCGCGAGATAAAAATGATGAAAGATGAGAGAGCTAGCGGAGCCGTCGGTAGCGAAAAGACGAACGTGCGTGCCACCAAGAGCTACCGACGTAATCGTCGAACTAATCATCACATGGGAAGATGAGTGCCACAAGATCGGGTGCCTGTCTTGGCTGAGCACACACCGTAAAGTTGTAGACCATAGATTCTCCGGGGGGTATACCACACTGTAAAAATAGCAGGATAAATATATGCCATATGGTCCGTCGCACTGAGGACGCACCTGCGTGATTCCATCCGTGCCATCATAAAAATTGGTGTTTCGTCTGTGGGCAATATTGAGGGTCACTGGGAGACGGATGGGGCCTGCGACTCACTGGTATAAGCCGTGCCAGTGGATAGCACTGGGCGAAGCGGTCAAACGCTATTTGTGATATGCACAGAGAGACTCACGTTGCGTTGGGCATCTTGTTCGTGACATTAACAATAATTCTGTCTTGTACGTTCGCCTCTATGGTGGGGCCGGGGAACATGCCTACGCGGGAGGATGAATGAGTGGGACAGCGGAGATATGGGAGGGAAGAGACTCGCCGTTGACGACGAGCATGTCCTTCTCCGTGCCGTCGGGGGCGCCGATGCGCTCCTCGACGACAAAGTCATAGTAGCGGGTGGTGGGCGGCTGGTTCTGCATGGTCATGTCCATAAAGTACGTGCTGGAGTCGGGTGTCTGGACCCGCTGGAGCGGCATGGTTGTGGAATTCGTCGCATTCGTCGAGGCGGCGGAAGCGGAGGAGTGGTCGTGGTGGAGGCCCAAGCCGAGTCCGAGGCCGAGCCCAAGTCCGAGCACGACGACCACTGCAGCCACGGCTGCCCCTGCGATGGCCAGGATGGTCACGGTCGAGCCGAGGAGGCGCATGCGGCGGCGCCATGGGGATACCCTGGGAGGGGCGGTCGGACTGACGGGGCTAACGGGACTGGCATGGTCCTTGTCGTAGAGACTGTCGTAGTCCATGGCGGAGCGAGTGGAGGGGGACAAAGGAAGACGGATGCGCCGCGAAGTAAATGCATACCGAACGGAGGCCATTCCGATAGCACGGACTCTGGGAGCAGGCAATCTAGAGGCCGAGCAGCCGAGACAGAGGGAATCTGGAGGAGGAGGAGAAGAGCACGTGGACAGAGAAACCTGGGCGAACGTGTGTCGGAGGGTGGCCCGGCGACTGACAGCGGACGCCCATCTTTATACGACGACAGCCTTTCCTCCCACTCTCCCCCGCCATCCGACTCTCCCCCGCCCCCACGCCCCCGTCACGCTCACGTGCATCCACACGCGTCCTGTCACACCCCCTCCCGTCCAATCACCCTGCCCGCATTAGTCACCCCAGCCAGGCCGCCGCTATGCATATACCCATTGCCATTCCTCTGCTCTCTACGACACGTCCGCTCAATCAAACGGAACCGCCCTGATCCCTGCCCCGACAAGTCGTGGCCCGGGCTGCCTCCTCTTCTCTGCCTCCGCCGCCGCAAACACAGACGGAACCGGTATTCCACAGCAGTCCCCCCACCCTACCTCCCGCTGTCCTGCCCCGCTCAGATCCGCCCTGTGCGCATGCGCATGGCCCCAGTGTCCGTCGTCCTGCTCGACCTCCTCGCGCTCCGGCGGCAGCGGCCCGTCCCAAGCCAGGATCGACCCAAACAAAAAGTGCTGCATCACAGGCAGTTTCCCCAACACCTCCGCCTGGAACATCTTCACCATGCCCGAGTTCACCTTGTCCCACGTCTTGACCTATCAGAAGCCGCCAATTAGTGGTCTTGTGACAGTACGCGTATCGAGAAGCTTAATTTACCGCGGATATGTCATCAAGCATGGGCGAGTGCCACCGCAGCGACGCCGTCTTCACCTTCGTGCACGCGCAGTCCAAGTCAGCAGCATGCGCATATATCCCTCATCCCGTGACCTACCGAGTTGATGAATTTGATACATGCAAAATACATGTAGTGCTTCGCATACTCGTCCACGATGTCCCTGTCGTGGATCGACTTGGGCTTGATGTACTTGTGACCTTCACACCCGCGCATCCGTTATCAGAACGGCAGCACAAAATGTAAAGCAAACGTACCTCGCAATTGTGCAGAACCGAACAGGAATGGCAGGAAATGATAGTCGTCCAGCCCCCACACCCCATGGGAACCAGCAGGCTCTAGCCAATACGTTGACTGCAGCACCCTCATCACCTGCACATATCTGTCATTCGAGTATAAGTCACTCGCTTCATGCCGCAAGACGGTCGGGATGCACCTCCAAAAGACCCGAATGACCAAGGCAACATGATCACTTTCTTGCACTACGCCTAGCCGTTCTAGACAAATTCTGAGCCCATGTACGTCAACAACAATCAGGCAACGAAGAAGCGTGGTCTCGGGACGTACAACCAGCATAAGAAGTTGAGCTCCATCCCGCTTCCATAATCGATGCGCGTCCGGTTTCCCCATGACTCGCCAAAGTACACCGCTAGTTCAGGGATCGCTTCCCCGGGAAGTTCGGGCAGGGTTGCATGTAGAGACGATGCGTTCTATTACTCCATATGGGTACAGCAGGCGCGTTCTCATAAATGGGGCGGAGCGCACCTCAGCCACCTTGTCGTAGAATGTCTTGAATGCTGGATTCCCGAACCGTGACGCCTTGTTGTCCACCGGCGGCGTAGCTTTTGCGATCTCCTCAACCTGATCCAGGACAGCAACTACTGCCTTGACGCCCTGTGTCCATGGGACGCACACAAGGTCTCCGTGAGCTTCCAGACGAGCGGTCCGAGCGGTACTCACGCACAGGTGATTCGACGCAATCGTCGGTGAGTTTGACGCCTACAACGGCAGCATTGAGGGTTTCGATGTACGAGATGATGTTTTTGTGCGCTTCAGATGCCTGAAAGTGCTCGAGCTGCTCTTTGGTGAGGATGACCTTGCGAGGGGGATGGAATGACATGGTGCTGAACAGAGATCGTGGAGTGGCACCTTCCCGCTTTCAGGCCGGATCTTATCAGATCACGTGTTATATTGGGTCGATCCGTCACTAGCGCTCGCTCGTGAAACCGAGCCGCTGTGATCAACGCTGAAGACGTTGCATTTCAGTCTCTGCATCCCTCTTGCCTCTCTGCATGGCTAGCCTCGTATCTCTTTAAGCGTTCTGAGTTTAATCAGGAAAGGAGGCCGAAGCTGTTTGAGGAAGACGGAGGTGATTGCGCAGGATTCTGATATCAGGACAAGACACGGACGTTGCATCTTGCGTGCCAGTGTTCAAAGGTACGACCGCCCTTATCATAGTCTTGCGCATTCCCCTCAAGGGGTTACTTGAAGCTGCGAGTGAGCGATAGAATTCATGCTAATCTACGCGGTGGTACTTGCTAGCTCCAAGTGTATTAAATCATCACCCGCATCACTCCAACGCCGGTGCCGCAGACGCATCCCGGACGCGTCTTGGTTTCGCTAAAGCAGTATGTCGCTCGACGGAAAAAATGGTGTCCGTGTAGGGAAAATCCATCGCAGGAGGTCTAGTAAGGAGGAGGATGATAACGCTTTCACCTTCCCTAGAGCGAAGACGCCGCCTGCGCCTGAGCCCGTTCCAGCAGCGGAGCTTCCGAAATCTATGTCAAATGGCCATGAATCCCATGGGAATGGTAATCTCGCACCTCCACAATCTCCAACTCGCAACCGCGTTGCCTCCACGCCGTCCATCATGAATCAGAATGGGACACAGTCGTACCTGGACCCCCCATCCGCGGGTCCCTACCGTGCTGGGTTTCCTAATCCTCGTGTCCCCAGTCTGAATGGCATGGCCCACATGCCTCATAGGCACCAATCGCCTGCTCTGCGCCAGTCTCTGTCTCTGCCAGGCTCCTCGCATGGGCGGACGCGTTCCGTCTCCGGTCCATTTTCCCCCTCCAGTCCCTCTCCTCTGGCATTTTCGTTCAATTCCCAAGAAGCAGGAGCCGGAAGGCTGCCGACGTCGTCCACCGCCCCGGAGCTGCGCACGAGAGAGAACGGCCTGGGCATTTCCCCGTCGCAATCGCAACCCCACGCACGTCGGCACTCGCGCATACACTCGCGCAACCTCTCTGTGTTCTTCCCGCGCCCTGGCACACTACCGTCGACCGCGATCGCAGAGGATGGCGGGCAGGAGATCATTTTTAATTCCCCGTCGCTCGAGGGCGTGCCCATGCCGTCCGCCTCGCCCGGGCCCGGCTCGCGCAGCTTCCGCGAGGGCTTCACCTTCGGCGCACGGCCCCCATCGTCCCCTGGCCATCCCATGCCAGCGATGGG